TATTTAGAGTCTAAATTATTCTTGTTTTAGTTGTGTACATATTTTCTTTTATTAAAATTGGAAAATTTTCTTCATCTGTTATGCAACTTAAGTTGTGATTGTTTGCTTTTTGAAAATTGTGAAACATTTCACATGTTTTTTATTTTAAACTAATAGGTAAATACCATATTGTATATTTTATTTGAAAATGTGTGTGCATATTACAGGAAATGAGAAATGTGATGATAGAACTTACTATGAAAGCTAATTAATGCTAATGATTACGATGGAAGTCTGAAACCTTTAAAATATTTTCTTTTCTTTAGAAATAACAGCTCACCAATAATTTTAATTCCTTTCACAGAGAGAATCAGGACTAAAACAGGAAATAAATGACCTTGTAAAACGGAAGATTTCTGTAGATGAAGAAAATGCCCTCCTAAGGAGTGAATTCAGTGACTTGCGAAAGAAATTTAAAGATAAAAGTCATGAACTTAAGGTGTGTTGACTTGTACATAGTTTTATTGGACTGCTGCTTTGAAGTCCTGCTTTAAGCTTTGTCAGCCTTTGTGGCACAGAAAAGTGACAAGCTTGGAGGAAAAATTGCCTTAGGCCCTGCTGTACCAAACAGTTTTCTCACATGTAAAAACTCTGAGAAAGATGCTTTAAAGCTAAGACTCTAAGCTTTATAACTTTCAGATAAATAGTTAATGATGGAAATGGAGCTAAGAAAGTAGGAGTGTGAATATGTGGCTTCTTGTAATTAGATTCTGATGGGACTGGCATTATTAATTGATAAAACCCAGGTCTGGAAGGATATGTCTGTGTGGGTCTCAAAAATAGCTGGGGACAGCATCAAAGGCAGCTTGATCAATTAATGGGCTCTTTGCAAATGTGTACTCATCAAAGCTGTCATCTAGTGAAAAAATATGACCCATCCACCTGCATGAAAAGAGGCCAATAAAAGTACACAGGTGACCTTGGCCATCAAATGTAGAAGAAGCTGCTGTGAGGGTAAAACTGCTCAGTTGATATTTGCTGATTAGTTCTCACCTTTTTTGTTGTTGTTTTGTTTTGTTTATTGGTCCTGTGGTACTGTTCTACAGGACACTAAGGAGTGTGTACAAAATAAGGAAGAGCAAAACAGGCTGGTTATAAAAAATCTAGAGGAGGAAAATGAGAAATTAAGTGCACACTGTACTAACCTGCTAAATGACCTGGAGAAACTGAGGAAGCAGGAAGCACACTGGAGAAAAGAAAAATACAGCACTGAGGCAAAAATAAAGGTATGCAGTGGGAATGGAATCCATGCCTCTCTTTTAGATTTAACTTCTTTAAGGAAGTTTAATACATGTTATTTTCTTTAAATAAAAACTTATATATTTATATCTACCAGTGGGGACTAGCATTAATTTATATTCCTTCACTTAAGACCCACAGCTTTTTAAAAATTGATGGTGCAAAGCAGGAAACTGACATCAGATAGTTATCCTACAATGTAATCATTAAAAATAAAGGATATTGCATTTTGAAATAAAATATGATTGAAAAAGTATATTTAGAATCATGAGCTTTGACTTTTTTCAATTAAAGCTGAAATTTATAAATAGAATTCAGTGCGGTATTGTTTTAAGAATTTATTTCTCAGGTCCTTTGAAAAATAAAATGCAATAAAAGCACAAAACAGTTAAGAATATTCACTCATATGTGTTATGACATTGTCCTCTCTTATTTAAAAAACCAAAACCAAACTCAACTGCTGTTGAGTCTCCTCTACTCGTAGCGACCCTTCTTTGGGTTTCCGAGGCGGTATCTCTATGGAAATAGATTTCCCAGCCTCTTTCCGAGGAGAGGCTGGTGAGTTTGAACTACCAGCCTTTTGGTTAGCAGTCCGATGCCTTAGGTACTGACTGCTCCACCAGGAAGGTATTATTTGTTCAACAAGCTTGCATGAAGTTTCTACTCTACACGAAACCTCAGAGAACTTAATTTGCCCAATTTTGTCCAGCACTCTGTTGACAGAGCTAGATTCAAACCCAGATCTGGCTAACTCCCAAGCCTACCCTCTCCCCCAACCCATAAGTCCTCCCTAGAGAGTGGGGGGCGGGGGGAAAGCGTTCAGGTAATAAGAGCCCTGGCAGATGAAAGCTAGACTTCTGATTGTCAGGGATTCCTAAACAATTAGCAGGGACCTCAGACCACAGGCTGTTGAATCATGTGTGTATTTAAAAAAATTCAATCAAACATAGCCTAAAATGCTGGTTGCCTTTTCCCCATAAACTAGAATATTTTCCGATGGGTCTGATATGACAGACCAGGCTGGGAATAACTGCTGGCCTGAAGTGTTTTCAGCCAGGTTCTCAGAACAAGTTTCAAATACAAATAAACCGGCTTTCCTGGCACCACATTCTGGTGATTCTGAAACAATCGGAGGAGCTTAGGAATTCTGGTGGCCTGTGCTGACACTCAGAGAACCAGGAGCCCGAGATCTCCAGGCCTTGGGTCCATATCCTGACCAAGCCCACCCCAAGCTTGGTCCCCACATGATGGTAGGGAAGTGACAAAGCCTCAGTGAGAAACCAGACGGAGGAGGACCAGATACTCAGAAGAGCCTTCAGACTCTTTTCACACTGTGCAAATGGGAGATTCGGCGCCCAAGTCTCACTGTGCCTCCTTCTGCAGGCTGCTCATGGGTCCTAAAGGAGACACCCAACCAGAGACAGAGTCAAAATAGCCTGCTGAGCTCAGCGCCCTGCAAACATATGCATAGTAAAATTTTATTCTTATTTAGATAAAAATTACAACCACTTTTTATAATCTTAGATCCTTTTTGATCAATATTTTTCAAAATAATACTTTTTGTGGCTATTTCTATGACTTAAGACTAGTTCTACTAATTTTCCTCTCAAATTTCTGGTTTCTCTTTACCATGGATTTTGTTGAAAGGCCAGAAATAAAATTTAGTGCTTGTAAATACGGTAGTTCCTCTCTTGCACTATAAAAGAATTTACAAGTAAATGTGTGTATGTAATTGTTCAGCAAATATATATTATATGAATATGTGTTTGTGTACGTTGTTAGATGCCGTCGAATTGGCTTTGACTCACAAAAATACAGTTAGGATTGTTGTTGTTAGGTGCTATTGAGTCACTTTCCACTCATATTGACCCTATGTACAACAGAACAAAACACTGCCCAGTCCTGTGCCATCCTCACAATCTTTTCTATGCTTGAGCCTATCGTTGCAGCCACTGTGTCATTCAATCTTGTTGAGGCGCTTCCCCTTTTTTGGTGCCTTTCTGCTTTACCGAACATAATATCCTTCTCCAGAGACTTGTCCCTTTGACAACATGACTAATGTACATGAGACAAAATCTGGCCATTCTTACTTTTAAGGAGCATTCTGGCTGTACTTCTTTTGAGAAAGATTTGTTCATTCTTCTGGTGGTCCATGGTATTTTCAGTATTCGTTGCTAACACCACAATTCAAAGGCATCGGTTCTTCTTTGATCTTCCTTATTCATTATCCAGCCTTCACATGCATATGAAAAAAACTCTGTGCTGTTGAGTCATATCCGACTCATGGTGACCCCTCCTTGGGTTTCCAAGGCAGTATCACTACGGAAATAGATTTCCCAACCTTCCTTCGGAGGAGTGGCTGGTGGGTTTGAACTGCCAGCCTTCTGGTTAGCAGTCAGATGCCTTAGGCGCTACGCTACCAGAGCTCCTACATGCATATGAGGCTATTGAAAATACCATGGTGTGGGTCAGGTGCGCTTTAGTCTTCAAAGTGACATCTTTGATCTTTAACACTTTAATGAGATCTTTTGCTGCTGATTTGACCAGTGTAATACATCATATGATTTCTTGACTGCTGCTTCCATGGGCATTGATTGTAGATCCAGGTAAAATGTAATCTCTGACAACTTCAATCTTTTCTCCATTTATCATGATGTTGCTTATTGGTCCAGTTGTGAGGATTTTTGTTTTCTTTATGTTGAGATGTAATCTGTAGTGAAGTCTGTAAGTCTTTGATATTCATCAGTAAGTGCTTCAACTCCTTCTAACTTTTAGCAAGCAAGGTTGTACAGTCTGCATATCACAGGTTGTTGATGAGTCTTCCTTCAATCCTGAGGTCATGTACTTCATGTAGTTCAGATTCTCGGACAATTTGCTCAGGATACAGATCGAGTAAGTATGGTAAAAGGACACAACCCTGACACACACAATTCTTGATTTTAAATCATACAGTATCCCCCATATATATAAATGTATGTATGTAAGCATATATATGTGTAGTTAGATATGCCCATATGCTTAACAATCAATAAGGAAAACTGAAGAAGGATTGAGGGCTTTGAATTATGATATTGGGGAAGAATATTTAAATGTACCATGAATTGCTAGAGAAATGAACAAATCTGTCTTGGAAGACAAAATGTTCCTTAGAAATACGGATAATGAGACTTTGTCTCATGTATTTTGGACATGTTATCGGAAGGATTTGTCCCTGAAGAAGGACATCATATACAGTAAAGTAGAGGGTCATCAAAAAAGAGGAAGACCCTCAATGAGATGGATTGGCACAGTGGCTGCAACAGTGAACTCCATTATAACAGTGATTGTGAGGATGGCGCAGAACCATTCATCGTTTCATTCTATTGTACCTGGGTTTATAAGTCAGAACTCATTCAACAGCTTTTAACAACGTGTATGTATATATTTAAGTTAGAGATAGAGGGGTATGTCTTTCTGAGTGTGTGAATATTTCAGATATTTAAGGAAATACTTTAAATTTTTTGATGCACGGAGCTTTGACTGAGCCATGGAGAATATTGAATTCTAGTGCATTTATTTTCTTAATTCTTACATTAGTCTGCTCCACTGTAACCTGTAAACAGTTTTGATACTGTGATAAGGGAAAGTGTTGTTTCCTTACACTAATTCTCAGGTACATCATTATTTGTACCATTTAATGAATTTGATTTCATTTCTTTATTTCTCATTCAAATAATGAAATTTGCTGTAGTTTTTAGTGTTGTAACTTTATTCTATTGGAGTGTTTTATTCTTTTTACTGAAAACAAAACTTAAAAACCAAACTCACTGCCACTGAATTGATTCTGACTCATAGTGACCCCTGTTGGGTTTCCAAGGTGGTAAATCTTTCTGTGAGTAGGTTACCCCATCTTCCTTCTATGGAGTGGCTGGTTGGTTTGAACTGCCAACCTTCTGGTTAGCAGTCAAATGCCTTGGGCACTATGCCACCAGAGCACCTTAGTGAAAAGGCATTCTTTAGTTATTCTAGATACTAATTCTTTATGATATAATTACAAATACCTTCTGTTCTATTAACCTTGAATAAAGTTAATTGAGACTTCAAAAGTTTCTGAATTTTGATAATGTTATTATTTTCTCTTACGTTTTTTCTTTTGGAGTTTTGTATAATAGTTTTCCTTATCTTGAAGACACAAAGATAATTGTGAGTTTTCTTTTTCCTTCCTGTTTAAGTCTTTTTTTTTCGTATCAAGAATTCATTTTTGAGTATGCTATTTGATACTGCTCAGTGGTAGAATTCTCACTTTCCATATAAGAGATCTGGGCTCAATTCCTGGCCGTTGCACCTTAGGCACAAGCACCATCTTTCTGTCAGTGGTGGTTTGTGTGTTTCTGTCATGCTAAAGAGGTTTCAGCAAAACATCTACACTAAGATGGACTAGGGAGAAAGGACTGGTGATCTACTTCTGAAAGCCAATAAAAACTACGGATCACAACAGTCTGATCTGTAACTCATCGTAGGAATGGCACCTGACCTGCCAGTGTTCCATTTCTTTTGTGCATGGGATCATCATGAGGCAGGGGCATACTCAATGGCAGTGACAGTAATACCACCAACAACAATTGAACACTGTTTGTTCAATAGTTCATCAATTTGTGATATAATCTCTTTTCCATCTCCAAGTTTCCATGTGTGCCTGGGTTTGTTTCTTAATTTTCTGTCATTTTTTTTTATTGTTTTAGGTATTGTAGGTTTTCACTGACTAAATTTTGGAGTAGATCACCAGGCCCTTATTCCTAATCTGTCTCAGTCTGGAACCTCTGCTGGACCTGGTGACCCTGCTGGTATTTGAAGTAGCATTGGCTTAGCATCCAGCATCATAACAACACACAAGCCAACATAGTATGACAGACTGACAGACAAGCTAGGATGGTGAAACTGTCTTTGTCTTGCTTACTTTGGACATGTCATCAGGAAAGACTAATCCCTAGAAAAGTCCATCACATCTACATTGGTAGAGGGTCAGTGAAAACAAAAAAAACCCTTAATGGTATAGATTGACACAGTCACCACAATGGGCTCAAACATAAAAGATCATGAAGATGGCACAGGATTGGGCAGTGTTTTGTTCTGTTGTACTTAGGGTCACTGTGAGTCGGAAGTGACTCGACGATACCTAACATTAACAACTGAGTAGCATCTGGGGTCTTAAAAGCTAGTGAGTGGCCATTTAAGTTGCAACTATTAGTTTCTTCCTACTTGAAGCAAAGAAGGGTAATGACAGTCAAAGATGAATAGTAATAGTCCAAAGGACTAATGGACCAGGTGATCCACAGCCTTCGATTTTGAGACCAGAAGAACTAGATAGTACCCAGATAGCACTCCCAGTCTCTCTGAATGGGATTATAATAGGAGGTACTGCATAGAGTGGGAGGAAAATGTGAAAAAAAGAACAAAACTCAAAAATCATATAAAAGGCCAGGCTTGCTGGTTTAATAGAGACTGTTAGAACTCCCAAGATTGTGGTCTTAGAAACCCTTCAGTCCTGGAACAACTTTCAGCCAGATGATAGGACTATACATTGAACAGTAATACCCAGGAGATAAGCATCAACCATATGAGATCAAAAGGGCGACATTTGCCCAGAGTTTTTTGCTCAGAAGGCAGAAAGGAAAAGGAAAGAAAGACGAATGGAAACAAGAAATAAGAGGGAAGCAGAAAGAGTACTGTCAGATTGTGGGTATTGCAGTTCAATGTCAGGAAACCAAATGCATATTATTTGTTGAATGGAAAATCAGTTTACTCTAAACTTTTACCCAAATCAAAATAAAAGGTAAAACAAAAAAAAACAATAAAACCAGTACTAGTTCTATGTGATTTGTAGAATAGTTAGTTAAAGTTAACAGAGTTTTTATTACATTTAATATTTATTATATTTGATGGTGATACAAGTACTCTAATTTTAGGCCTTCGAAGATAATTTAAATGAAGCCAGGAAAGAAATTGAAGTGTCACAGAGTAAATATAATGCTCTGTCATTACAATTGAGTAATAAACAAACTGAACTTACCCAGAAAGATATGGATATTACCTTGGTCAGGTAAGTATACTCAGTTTTTAATTTAGCATTATAGAAGCATCATTAGATATTCAAAATGGTACCATTTATGTTTATTATAAACACCTAAAAAATGATTAAAATGTACGTTTTATGGGTACATAAGGTGCTCTGGTAGTACAGTGTATAAGATACCTGACTGTTAACCAGTAGGTTGGTGGTTCAAACCCATCAGCCTCCATGGAAGCAAGACTGGGCAATCTATTTTCGTAAAGATTTACTACCTTGGAAACCCAAAAGGGGTCGCTATGAATTGGAATCAACTTGATGGCAGTGAGTTTGGTTTTGTTTTGTTATGGGTACATAAGGAGCTCTGGTGGCACAGTGCATAAGGCATTTGATTGTTAACTTACCAGTTTGATGGTTCAAACTTACCAGGTGCTTCGCAGTAGGAAGATGGGACATTCTACTTCTGTAAAGATTTACTGCCTTGGAAACTCAGTGGAGATTGCCGTGAGTTGGAATGACTCGATGGCATTGAGTTTATGGGTACATACATTTATGCAATGAAAAAGTCTAGGATTATATATAGCAAACCTGGTAGAATTAGAGGGTTTACAGAATTGTGAAGAGTGTGATCAGAGAGTTCCCTTTTGTTTCAGTTTTTAACAGACAATACATTCATTCATTGTTTCTTTCTAAAGTTCCTAGCCATTTACTATGTGTTATTGTTTATAAGGTCTCCTACAAACCTGAGAAATACAATTCTAACCTTTTATTTTACTATGTTCTGTATAGTTTTAGTTTATCAAGTGTTCTTTCTATATTACATAATTAATTTTAGGCATTTGACTGCTAACCAGAAGGCTGGCGGTTCAAACCCACCAACCACTCCTCAGAAGGAAGGTTGGGCAATCTATTTCCATAGTGATACTACCTTGGAAACCCAAGGAGGGGTCGCCATGAATCAGATCTGACTCTACAGCAGTGCATTTTTTAGTTAGTTATAAAAGAAGCTCTGGTAGTGTAGTGCCTGAGGCACTTGACTGCTAATCAGAAGGGTGGAGGTTCAAACCCACTCCTTGGAAGGAAGATAGAGCAATCTACTTCTGCAGAGATACTGCCTCGGAAACCCAAGAAGCATTCACTATGAGTTGGAGACGACTCAGTGGCACCTAACAACAACAACAGTCATAAAAGGTAGAGTCAGGGTGATGCGGTGGTTAAGCGCTTGGCTGCTAATCAAAAGGTCTGTGGTTTGAACCCATAACTTTTCCATGGGAGAAAGTGTGGCAGTCTACTTCCATAAAGATTTCAACCTTGGAAACCTCATGGAACAGTTCTGCTGTATCCTGTAGGGTCCCTGTGAGTTGGAATTGACTTTATGGCAATGGCTTTTTGGTTTATTTGTAAAATGAAATCAATTGAACCCACTTTTGTGACTCAACTTTCAGCCATACAGTAAACCAAACTCGCAAACCAAAAACCAAACTCACTGCAGTCAAGTAGGGTCTGATTCATAGTGACCCCTCCTTGGGTTTCCGAGGTAGCATCACTACAAAAGTAGATTGCCCTACCTTCCTTCCAGGAAGTGGCTGGTGGATTTGAACCACCAGCCTTCTGGTTAGCAGTCAATTGCCTTAGGTAGAATTGCTCAGGGATAAAACTTAGAAGGCAGGGAAGGATAGTAACGATGCACATGTGGAAATTATATAAACAAGGAAAGAATGTGGGAAGAGTGCTGGTACATTGTGGGGATTGCAGTCATTGTCACAAAACAAAATGTATATGCATTGTTGAATGGTAAATCAATTTTCTCTAAACTTTCCTCCTTATCACAAGAAAAAGTTATATGTATATGTGTGTGTGTGTGTGTGTGTGTATAAAGATTATTTGAAAAGGTAAGCATTATGTACTTCTATTTTTAATTGTATTGAAAGGTTTTAAAACTGTCAATTTGTTTTACAACTTCTTATATCAGAAAATAATGGAAAATAGAAGAGAGAATAAACATGCCAGGGTGTTTGCTTGTTTGTATGTTGTTATATATATGTGTTCTATATATGAAATAGATACATATTTTAATGTATATTTGCATACAACTTTGGTGGCATGAGAGGATGAAATGAAGGTCTTATAGAGCTATGTGATAAACTTTGATTATGTGATTGATTTTGTTTAATCTAAAAGCATTCTTAGTGTGTACAACGTGGTGGTTGTCACTGCCATTTTGGTACACATTGGGATGGAGTTTTTCTTTTGTTAAAAGTTAGCTGTGAATTATCTTTCACTTTAGTGGGATGGTATGAGATTCAAGGTAGTACTGTTTATCAGGTACATTTTATAATTTCATTTAATAAAATGATTTTGTAAATTTAAATATACATTGTGATTTTTCTTTTGCATGAGTGACTTCTTATCATCACTGAATCTAATAAAATTAAAATTGAATTAGAATTTTACCAAATTTATTTTATCACATTAAAATCTTATTATATGAGTTAGGAGTATAAAGTTTATAGATGATGAACTGATCAATTTATTATTTCATGGTGGGTTTTTTTTAATATGATAATTTGATTGATGCAGAAAAGCAATTCTAAACAGGAGTAAGATCTTAGAAGAAATTTAAAAATGACCATTTTTTCTTATCCTCTTCCTGTTAAGATAGTATCTTTATAGTGTTTGTCTTTTGCTTTAACACTATAATTTAAATGTTTCTGAAAACTTTGCAAGACTCTTTCATTTTTATATTGTTTATATTTTTTTTCCATATCGAGTTGAAATTTACCTCTTCATAAATTTTACCCATTTATCTTGGTTCTGTTATTTGAAGAACATCAGAGAAGGTCTTATCTCTCCTATATAGCACAGCCTTTCAGATATAAGAAGAAAATTATCAATAATTACTATATTTTTTCATCAGTTGATTAATTATCCATATTCCTAATAAAATGTTTTATGTAAATCTTTCCGAGGTGTTAGACTATTTGTTTTACCTATTTGGATGAATTCTGTATTGTCAATATCCATAGTATTAATATTCTTCTTAAAATATAGCACCTAGAATGATAGAAAAAATTGTAACAGTTACCTTTTTATTCTGGAGTATGATGGTGTTAGATTATTTACTAGAATAGTCATTGTATTCATTCTAGGATACAATGTTGTATTAAATTCATGGAATTAGGATAAATGTGTTTTCCAGTAATTTTTGCCCTTGAGTTTGTATACTTAAATTAATGTATTGTAAGAGCTATAAGCTACAGTAAATAGGGTCAAAATATCCACAGATGGGCATTTTGTTCAACAAAGGTAAGAGAATAATTGGAATATGTATTGTATATGTAATAATGGCATGTAATTAAAAGGGTTGTAAGACACATAGAAAATGATAAAACATTACTGAGAGAAATTAGAACGGTTTGGTAAGTTGACCATTATTCATGGTTTGGAAGACTCAGTATGATAAAAATGTCAGTTGTCTTCAAATAGACATTTCAATTCAGTATAATACTAATCACAGATCAGCAACAATGTAAAGCCATTACAACCCCTTGCCCTTAAAGGGCAAGGAGAGGAGCTGTTACCAGGTCTCAGTGAGAAGTGTAGCCTCAGGAGAGAGGCTGCCTATTAGGAGCAACCACACAAGTTGCTACCTGACTGTGGTTCCTCAGAGGGAGCCAGGGAAATAAGTACCCTGTCCTCCTCCTCTTTACTCTTTAATTTCCTTTCACCACCTCCTTCCAGTGATCAAATTCAGTCAGAGCCAGAGGACAAGGAGCTGGTGCAGTACAGTTTGTAGAGGTTGGCCTCTTAGGGTAGAGGGTAGGATAGAGATTATGAAGACTGAGTAAGAAAATACATAGCACATTTGCCATTATTGCTCTTTATCAGAGCTTCCCTCGTCATTATTACTTACTGATTTTCCCTTTAAAATAAAATTACCTAGTTCTTATTTGGTATTTCTATTAGAGAATCACATTTACAAATCAGCTCTAAGGAGAATTGACATCTTTATGGTATTCAGTCTTTCTGTCCCAGAGTGTGGTACGTCTATTTGTTTCTGTCTTCCTTTGTATCCTAAGTATTTTAAGTTGTTCCTTGACTGGTTTTTGAGATTTCTTGTTAAATTTATTCCTGTTTTTTCATGTTGCCATTTTCAGTGGTCTTTCCTTCCCATATAGGTACAGAACAGTTTTCCTGTTATTGATTACAGTTTTTGATATGCATGTTTTAAGATGCTTTGATTTGGTGGGTAAAGTGTTTTGTTTTTACTGTAAGTTGTATCTTTTCTTTTGTATCTTTCTAACCCTGGATGGCTTTGTTGTTGTTATGTGCTGCCGAGATCGCCCCAACTCATAGCGACCCCTCCTTGGGTTGCCGAGGCAGTATCGCTACGGAAGTAGATTGCCCAACAGATTTACCCTTGTGTTGCTCCCCTTCCATTTGTTGCCTCATCATTTCCTTCAAACACAGGAGCCGCCAGAATCTCACTTTCCTGAGATGGAAACTAGAATTGGCAGTGCTGCCAAAGTTAGGGAACTTTGGTTTGAAAATTTAATTTGCCTATTGAGATTCTTTTTACTACACTTAACTGTCTGATGTATAATGAAAGCATGACTTACCCTGTTTTCAGAACTATCTTATAAGTATTGTTGTCATCAGTGCTTATCAATTCTTGGAACTGAAGTGTTAACTTAATTTCAGTAAGAAGGTGGTACTATGTCTGCAGACCCAGGGTTTTTATTACTATCATGCTATAAAAGAAAATTGATAATGTATTTGGCTTTGAAACTCAGAGTAGTTCTATCAATACTTTCTAGGTGTATGTGATAAATATTAAATATTTTATACATTATTTCTTTTATTAATAAGTTTGCCTGCAGTAAAAAAATAATAGATGAAAAATAGGAAGCTGATCTATAGTCTGAGGTGAGCACAATTATTTAACTGAGATGATCTTTATGCACACTTCCCTCTCTTTATTGCTTGCTTTGTTCAGGAAGGAGTTGCAGGAGCTGCAGAATCTTTACAAACAGAACAGTGCGCATACCGCTCAGCAAGCAGAGCTGATCCAGCAGCTTCAGGTTCTCAATATGGACACACAAAAAGTACTGAGAAATCAGGAAGATGTTCACACAGCTGAAAGTATATCCTATCAAAAAGTATGCTTTTATTCTGTCATAAAAATGTAATTTTAAATGCATGAATTATAACAATACATAGAATTCAAAATTTTAAAATTTCACCATTTCTTTTATTGTTTCATTTTATATATGGTTCCTCAGAATTAAAAGTGAAGAATGGTTCAATTTGATAATATTTAAAATTTTGTGCGTTTTCTTTATGGCTGTTAGATCTAAAACATTTATTTATTTATATATATATATATATATATATATATGAGAATAGGTCTGTAGGATACTATTTTTATAATTTGGAATGTTGATAGTTACTGTGAAACTTACTAGGGCTATATCTTCCAAATGGGAAAGGATTTAGTAATAGAATTAGTCTTCTATTATGAGAAAATATTTCATCAAGTATGATACTAGTTTATGATCTGAGGGAGAATTTCACTCTAGAAATTGTGCATTTTTTTAATTGGAAAATCTGTACAAACACTAATCAGTATGCAGATAAGGTCTTCAGGATCAATATTTTGCAAGGGATTTTCTTTCTTTTTTTGTGTGTGTTTCATTTAAGTAGTCATTTTAGGTTACACTTGTTTTAGGAGTCCCTCAAGAAGGTTTATTCAGCTACATAGGTGTGCTGACTGACTCAGCAGCAATAATTATAGTTAATAATTAAAAAACAAAAACAAACACTTTTATTGAGCTCTTTATATATTTTAGTAGTATACTATTTTTTCTAAAAATAAGTTACTTTAAATATGTATCAGCTCTCTGTGATTAATATTACTCCCTTCTAACATTTGAAACAGATGAGAGAAGTTGAGGACTGCAATCTTTATTAATCCTAAAATTTTAGTATGTTTTCCTGCTTAATCTCAGTATTTTGAAAAAGCACCATAAAGATGCTATATTGATAATTAACATGAATTAAATAACTTTATTAAGTAAACTTAGTAATACATATTTTAAAGTGATACTTTGGAACAGTGGTTTTCAATCTGTGATCTGTATTCCCTTAGTTTGCCTTAGGACATGGGTGATAATCAAGCAGGAAACCAGAGCCCATATCCTCCACTTGAGCTAGCACAGCCTCGCCAACTTGTTTTATCTGTTGCCAGTGTCCATTATACTTTTGTTTCTAAAACCAGTCTCCATTGCTAAAATGTTTGAAAAATTCCACGTCATTACTAATTTTTTTTCTGTTTTTCACTTATCAATTTGACTCAAATACTTCTCTCCCTTTCTTAATGTTTAGAAGTTCTGTACTCTTAGCAATTTGTATTTAAATCTGTCTTTACGTTTGCTCATTATTAAAATACATGAACTTTTCTTCTTACTTGCTAATACTTCTTTTTCTGTTTCTCCTCTCAGTTCATAAGGAACAACATGTAAAGAAGAATAAAAGGCAGTGTTTTCCTAGCTACTTCTTTTTCAATCTTGGATTCTAAGTTTCTTTCCCCCGGCCCCCCTTGCTTAACTTTTAATTTAAGACTAAATAACTTCTCTTCTAAGAACCAAAATCTTGGGAAGCATTTCATTTGATCACTTGAAAAATGCCATTGTTTTCCTATCGAATGTTTCAGACTTGATTCTACATCTTGGTTGGATCTCTTTCATAGCCTCTACAGAGGCTTTATGTCCTGAGTACTTTGATACATTCTGTACCACTTCATACAACTGAATATTTAAACATATTTAGAAAGAGTAATCCATGCTCCTGGCAAATTTTCAAACAATGTAGAAGTGTCTGAAGGAAAAAATAAAGTTCTTTCTGAAGCCCACTCCCCAGAAGTAATTGCTGTTAATGTTTGGGAATGTATACGTCTAGAATTTACCAAAAGAGGACACTTTAAATAATTTCCTTTTTTGATTACACACAAAAAAATGTGGATACGTTATTTTGAAAAATTAAAGTAATATATAAGTACCAGTAGTGAAAATCTGATTGATTTGAGTTCCATTCCTCCCACCTCAGTTAATTTCATTCATCTTCCCAGAGGTTCCCCGCCCCCCCCCAAAAAAAAATACCTACCCACCAGCCACTCCTCAGAAGGAAGGTTGGGCAATTTACTTCTGTAGTGATGACTGCCTCAGAAACCCAAGGAGGGGTCCTGTGAGTCAGGTCCGACTTGACGGCACATAACAACAACAACACTGCCATTGAGCCGATTCCAACTTACAGCAACCCCCATTGGGTTTCCAAGACTATACATCTTTATGGAAGTAGATCATCTCATCTTTTTCCCATGGGACAGCTAGTGGACTTGAAACCCTGACCTCCTGTTTAGCAGCCACATGCTTTACCCACTATACCACCAGAGCTCCTTTCCCAGATGTAGTCACCTGGATAGTCATCCTAGATCTTTTCTATGCATTAGATGCATATTATATCAGAAACCAAAAATAAACTCACTGACATTGAATAGATAGATACACATTTATA